GAGAGGCAGGCAGAGAGAGAGGGGAAAGCAGGCTCCCTGCCGAGCAGAGAGCCAGATGTGGGGCTCAATCCCAGAACCCCGGGATCATGACCTGAGCCAAAGGCAGAGGCTTAACCCACTGAGCCACCCAGGCGCCCCTCTAAGGCCTCACCTTAAGTATGCACATGCACGCACAGACACACACATCCATAAGTGATGCATACAAGATCCTTCCCTGTATTTCTTTGTATAACAGCAAAGGACTTTGGGGGTGTGGGAGAATCCATCAAGAAAGACTGGTTAAATAAATGGTGCTACATCTAAAGAATGGAATACTCTGCAGCTAAAATGGTAATGTATAAATATTAGGGACTCTTATTTAACAAGATATGTTAAGGGCAAAATGTTCCAAAGAGTGGTAGATTACGCTACACTTTTTTATAAAGTTAAAAACAAAAAGCCAAAGAAAAAAACAAATAGGTATGTATTTGCCTGACATATATAGACTATTTGTAAGGAAAAAAAAAGGAACTAGCATTGTTGGCTGTAACAAGGGAAAACTGGGAGGATGGGAAAACATGTTCTAAATTTTTTCCCTTGTGAACGTACAACCTATTCAAAAAGTGTTAAAACTGGTTAATTTTTTAAAGTTCAAATGAAAAATCCCACAAATATTGTATGATTTCATTTATATGTAATGTCCAAAATAAATAAATCTGTAGAGACAGAAGTAGATTAGTGGTTGCCACCGGAAGGAGAGAGGGATAACCGGGACAACCACTCTACCGGGACAACTATGGATGGGGTTTCTTTGGGAGTGAAAGAAATGTTCAGGAACGAAAAAAGTGAAGTGTACTCTTTAAAATGGTACATTTTACGTTATGTGATTTATATCTCAATAAAAAGTTATAAAGAAATCTCAGGGGGTACACCTGGGTGGCTCAATGGGTTAAGCCTCTGCCTTCAACTCAGGTCATGATCTCAGAGTCCTGGGATCTAGCCCCACGCCCCACATAAGCTCTCTGCTCAGCATGGAGCCTGATTCCACCCCCCACCCCCGCCTCTCTGCTTGTGATCTCTGTCAAATAAATAAATAAAATCTTAAAAAAAAAAAAAAAAAGAAATCTCAGGTTGTTATATTCAACTGATGTTGTTCAATTACCTAAATATTCTACAAATATAAAGTTATCTCCAATTAGCTTTTACACAAAAAGGAAGATGCTACATCACTACTCCTGTTTAAGTGGGTCAGTAATTTTGATTAATCAAATCCATCTTTTATTGGTTCTCCTAATTTTAATTAAAAAGTCTAATTTTATCTTTCATCAGAGCTACTGACAAGCAGCAAAAATCATATGATCTGAACTTTACCTTTTTTTAGAGAACTGACCAAATGAACAAAAAAATCTCCGGAACTTAAAATATTCACAATTAGCCTGAGGATAATAGATATTTTAAAAGTCAAGACTTCAAAAAAAGGTTGGCTACTGTTTCCTATTATAGCTAGACATAAAAAAAGAAACCTACTTCCTTACACTAAAACACTAATACCCAGGAAAGATTAAAAAATATATATATCTTCTCCGATTTGGATCTTACTCTTAAGAGATAGAATTTAGGGTGATTCTTTCCAAAGGCTGCTTCAGGCTTAAGGCAATTAAGCTTACTGTTTCCTAAAACTAACAAGTTTAGGCAACACCTATCAGAGATTGATAAGGCAAAATTTGAACAGACTTAGAAATCAAAATTAAGGGGCACCTGGGTGGCTCAGTCAGTTAAGTGTCTGCCCTCTGCTAAGGGCATGATTTCAGGGTACTGGGATCAAGCCCCACGTGGGGCTCTCTGCGTAGCAGTAAGCCTGCTTCAGCCTCTCCCTCTGCCTGCCTCTCCTCCTGCTTGTGCTCTCTCCCTTGTTTGCTCGCTCTCTCTCAAATAAACATATAAAATCTTTTTTAAAAAATCAAAATTAAGGTGACTATAAAAATAGTAAAGCTTAGTTCACAAATACCTCTACAATGGCCTATAACTCAATGCAAAATCCTGTACTCAGTTCATAAAGTTCAAAGTTTTTCTCATAAGCCACCAACAATTTTTGCAATTATATAAAACATTCTTTTTAAGTACATTTAAATATAACTAAGGTGGCAAAGAAAAAAAAAATTCAGCTATTCCAAACCTATGAATATATTAAAGGGTTCAAAATTTCTTAAACATTATCTTCTATAATAGTAAAATCTTAGGTTTCAGATTACAGGTAAAACTAGAGCAAAGAAGTTTTAACTAATACTTTAAAAGCACTCTTAAGGGGAACCTGAGTGGCTCAGTCCGCTAAGCGTTTGACGCTGGATTTCGGCTCAGGTCAGGATCTCAGGTTTTTGAGATGGACCCCAAGAGGCTCTGTGCTGGGCATGGAGCATGCCTAAGATTCTCCCTCCCTCTCTCCCTCTGCACAACCCCCATCAAAAATAAAAAGCACTCCTAAAAATCTATGAAATGTCAAAGATTCAACTGACAGAAATCCCATTTAGTGTTACAGAATACACTGAGTAAATTTTATACTAACTTCATACACATAATTTCAATTATTCTTTTTGCCTAAACAAAGAAATTAAGTGCAGAAAAGTCAGCCTGCTCTATCTGAACTCTGCACAGGTAACAAATATAAAAGCAATGTAAAAATGTGTATGAAGATAGGAAAAAGAGCTTTCAGACTTATGATCTGTGTAAGGCATTTATTTTAAAAAAAACCTCCAAACTATTCCATGACTTGATGAAAATGCATAAAACCAAAAAACCTAACTTATGACCAAAACAATCTCTACTTCTTGAACCTATACTGCTACTAGTATAGAAACAAGAAATTGAATTCTTATTCCATGCCAATCTTTAAGCAGAGTCCACTATAAGCACGCCTACATTTCTGGGATCTATACAGGATCTTAGAATAAGAGGATAGTCAATTCAGTATATTCAGCTACTTCAGATACATAAGTAACTAAGGCTTTAACCGATTGCAAAAATCAAATGTACTTTAGGAAGGGTTAAGTTACTCATGAAGAAATAAATCTATTAAAAATACCTTATATTTGGCTCTCTAAAAGCTTCAGGGAAGACCACAGTTGGGGTACACTTACAGCTTAACATCTGAAAAGTCTCACTTCAGCTTTTCAGTATCAAGCATTTATCTATATAACTACAGTAATGAGCCACGGAAGTTAAGTTTAGTAGTGGATGATAAATACCATTCCAAAAAAATCCCATCAGAACACACACACACACACACACGCGCTTTGAATGTTTTCAGATAATGTGACAAGCGCCATAAATCACTACAATTTCAGAGTCCCTATTCTAAATGTCTTTTCACCAATGACCTCTTTAGGAAATGTTTAACTACTAAAGCCATGACCCTCACACAACTTAAAAATACACCAGTTAGTTTACTAGGTAGTTACCTAATTCAATGATTCATGTACTGCCTGCCTCCCACATTTCCCCGTCCAAAAAAGCACCCAATCAAAATAACATTACTTTAAAAACAAAGAAATGCTGGTCAACCTATTCTGAATGTTCCCAAAGTTGCTTTAAAAAGGGGGGGGGGGGACGCCTGTTTGGCTCAGTGAGTTAAGCCTCTACCTTCGTCTCAGGTCATCATCTCAGGGTCCTGGGATCCAGCCCCACATCAGGCTCACTGCTCAGCAGGGAGCCTGCTTCCCCCTCTCTCTGCCTGCCTCTCTGCCTACCTGTGATCTCTGTCAAATAAATAAATAGAATCCTTTAAAAAAAAAAAAAAGGCAACCTTTCGTACAAATGTATTACTGTATGGCAAGCACCAAGATGTAAGTTTGCTCCTTAATATAATCACTACAAAAAATAAAAATAAACACTCACTACAAAAATATGGTTTAAATTAAACTAAGTCTCTGAAACACAAAATTTAAGAGAATGAGTTCATCAGAATGTCGGTATTTACCAATATACAATGGGCCCAGAAATTCAAAAAATCTTAAGAAAAACAGAATCTGGGGGGCGTCAGGGTGGCCTAGCCGTTAAGTGTTTGCCTTCAGCCCAGGTCATGATCCCAAGGTTCTCAGATTTAGCTCCCTGCTCAGCAGGGAACCTGCTTCTCTTCTCCCTCTGCCCCTCCCCCTGCCTGTGCGTGCGCGCGCGCGCTCTACCCCTGTCAATAAATTAAAAGCCTTAAAAAAAAAAAAACCAACTTGGATATAATCAGAAAACATAACAGTAAATGGTAGCAAAACCAGTAAAATAGCCAACCACCAATTCTTAACCATTTGGTTGATTTTAATAAGTGATACTTGCAGTCTATATTATTAAGCACTTAACTTCGGACCAGACAACATCCTGAGGATTTTATAATCACCACAATCCTGTAAAGTAAGTCGCAAAATACTACCTGAAATACGTTAGGTTTTAAGGCACAGAACTGCATTTGCCTAAGACATTAAGTCCCATCCCTTCTCTTCCCAGATACCACCAGTTAACTGCTAACTCCAGAAGCATTTTCTATTCCTAGGAATGGTCCCTTAACTATAACTTGGGGTAATCAAGCTCTCAGTTTATGGCAGAAACGGCTAGTAATCAAACTGCCACTCTACCCTAGAATAAGTATGGCAAAGTACCCAGGGCACTGAATTTCCTCAAGTCCTAAGCATGTGTTTTTTGTTAGGTGAACTCAACCCACTTAACCCACACAACCGCTGGAAACATAACCACTGGGAAGCAAGAAGCACCAGCACTGATCCCATACCCTTGTAAGTGAAAAAGCCTCCTGCTAGTTCCTGCTAGTCCCCGGGAGGAGCAGTCGCCGTCGACTATCAAGGGCCCAAAATCACCGCTTTTTAACTGCAGAGATTAGCTAGCCGACAACCACGTGAAAAAATGCCGCAAAGAAAGCTCTTCCGGAGAAGAGTCGTCCGGACAGATCACGTGCCGCCGGCCGGAACCTGCCGAGCGCAGGGCGGGATCCAGTCGCATTCTGTTACCGTGGAGACTACAGAACCAGCCACCCAACCCTCTCGGGCCAGCCCCCTTCCCAGCAGTCGTCACGCCGCCTTCAGGCACTTTCCCTGCAGCCTAGCCGCGGCGTCGTGCCCGAAAAGAATAAGGAGACCAGGCAGTATTTGCCAGAGACTACACCATAGAAGCCTGAGAACCTTCACAACACCCACGGGGGCGCGCGGGTGGACTCGAGAGTTCCCTTGATCCACGTGTCTGCTCCGGCGACGCGAACCCTGACCGTGGTCTTCTCTCAGAGACGGCTGTTACTTTGGTCACTCACGTTGTTCTGCCGTCAGTCACCCTCCTTTAAGACCTCCTTCACCCCTCCCAGCTTGCACCCTCCCCAGGAAGAGGCAACCCCAGGGTTCCAAAAGCAAAGCAAAAATCTTCACGGGAAGACATTACCACTTTCCACTCACAACCCAGTTTGAAATGATCTCTAACTTCTCCATGCTCTTCGCACATAGATCCTTCAACTTTGGTTAGTGGTACTCGAACAGACTGTTATATCCCAGACCCACCTACCACTGAGGGCAAAGACCTCCTTGACAATTTAACAGACGAGGGAAAACTCATAAACGGAGAACTAGCCAAAGGTTGCCCACAGAGGAAAAAAGAAAATAACACCTGCTCTTCCCACCTGTTTTCCCCGCCCTCATTTCTGCACTTAGTAGCCACCGGTCTTTTGTTTACCAAGTTCCCACTCCTGTGTGGCTCACTTCCTCGCCCTCCTTCTTTATTAAACTCACGCGCGGTCCTGCCTCAAACAACTTGCCCGGAAATTACATGCTAAAAAAGACGTTTACATAGGTGTCAAAACGCTACACAGAGCTCCTTAAAAAACGACGTCAGCACCGTTTCCTTCAGAGTTTTGGAACCCGGAGACCTGAACTCTATAATGCAAAGCGCACAAGCGCAGCTCTCGACCTAAAGCCCCGCGCCGCGCTGAAAGTCATCACGCGGATCGTACCATGCGGTGCGGCACCCCACGCACGCGAGGGCAGGGCCGCGCCAAGGGCGCTTCTCACCCCGCCCGCCTCGTGGCTTCTCTTTCTGGCGTCGATGTTCCCAGTTACTTCGCTGCGCGACGCGGAAGTGAGGCCGGGAACGCGCGCGAGGTGACATGCGCAGCCTCGCTCCGGGGGCCACAGGCGCGCGCCAAAGGCAACCCCGCGCAAGGCCCGGCCTGGCCGGTGCGTGCGAAGATCGCACAGCGGAACGCTTCTCACGCTGTTCAAATGAACAAGCGCTTCAAACTCTCAAAAAACTCTCTTCGGGCCAGTACTAAAGCGACGCCCTCCACCCAGGCCCGAGAGTTACCGTGCGGGGCGTGGTCGGCTTCACCCGGAGTCCTTCACATCCCGCTGGGGGCGGGTTATTCTGTTCGGTTCGCACACCGTGTGTCCGCTCCAGCTGAAGAGCCTGCGCGCGCACAGGACGTCCACGTCACCGCGCACGCGCTCCTACCCGCTCAGAGCCCGCCGCGCAAGCGCAAGAGGAGGCGCGAGCAGCACCTCCCTCGCCCCTCCCCCAACACTAGGAGGCCAAACGGCCCGGGAGCAGCGACAAGACCCTTGGGACCCGCCCCTGGAGCTCAAGCCGCTGCTTTTCCGGGTCCAAGAAACCGATAAAAGCCTAATGAAGCTTCCAGAATCAAGAACGGCGAGGGAGGAAGAAGGAACCCCAATTCCCTCACCCTCGCACACGAAGGCTTCGTGAAAACTGTGAAACCTTTGCCCGCGGGCTTTCTCAACTGTGCCCTCCACCGTTTCCCTCGGGCTTCTCAGCGGCCCCGCCCCTGCCGCACCCAGTCCCACCCACATCTGGCTCCACAGCCCCGGGGGCTTCACCGGTTCGTCAAATGAATCCGCGATCTTCCTCCCCAATGTGCTGTGGGTTTGGATAGCGCCAGACCGTCGGGAAACCTTGAAGAAAAGACTGAGAGACGGGTGGTCGAGTCTACAACATCCATGACCCAAGAACACTAGGAAAGTAGGAAGGAGACCGAAAACTCCACTACCAAGAAGGAAGAGAAGAGTTGCCATTAACTTGCCTGACAAAGATGAAAGATGTCCTAATAAAACAGTAAACCGTGGAAACAATTTTTTGCACGACAGAGTATTATCTAAGCTTTAATGCCCTGATCCTGTGTTTTCAATTTTTGTTTATTCAAGATATTTAGGCTATGAAGTGCAAAGAAAAAAACTGCTGAATATTATGTCAGGCAGTCGCTGAACAAGTTAACGAACAGTATTTCTCCCAACCAAATATCAAAAATTATTTCTTCCTACCCCTTACCAGCTGCTCCTTCTTCTGAACTAACAGTCAAGTAGTAAAAAGGGACAGTTGTTTAAAATGAGAACGAAAAGAGGCAAAATAGAAAGCAGAAATTGTGGTCCATGTTTCCAAACTGTATTCTTTCAACTCTTAACAAGAATTAGCAAATACTGAGAAGTACTCATTGCTTGGTGACCTAATACAAAACACTATATGAAGGAGAATGAGGGGATTGAAAGAAAGGAGCCAAGAGGAAGAGACTTAACCAACAGGATTAATCACAGCTGGACCAGAAACATTAGGAAGAAGGGTCTTGTTTCCCTTCATTCTGCTCTTCCTCTGCCACACCACAGGAAGAAAGTGTGATGGAGTTACAGTATGGACTGGAAAATGTGTAGGCTAAAGGTCACAGACTTATGAAGTTGCTCTGAAACCCCCATACAGGCACTGTCGTCAAGAGCATCACCAGTGCAACAAATGAATAATATCCAAAATCCTAGGCAAAACTAAACATAAATTTCTGAAAAACACCTTCCTCCTCTTCCCTGACCTCAAAAACCTCTCTTCCTGCCTTGTCAAAATCTCCCACCTCTTCCAAGAATGCTTTCCTCTTAAGGGTCTAAGGTTTCCTCGCACAAAATTAAAGGCAGAATTGTGTTGACATTGATTCTAAGATGTAAATGACTGATGACTGGTTAACAACCATACCTAGTAGTAGTTGCATCCCAAAGAAGACGTTGAAATAAAATCTCTCATTGGAGAATCTCAGAGGACACCGTGAAAGACAGGGAAATTGGAGATTTTCTTTTGCTACTCTTCCCCTACATCAAGCAAACATGAAATGCCAGATCTTTTAGAACCACCACCAGGGGCTCTTGATTTCTACTCATGTCATGATCTCAGGGTAGTGAGATCAAACCCCACATCTGGCTCTGTGCTCAACCAAGAGTCTGCTTGAGATTTTCTCCTTCTGCCCATCACCCAGCCTGCACATACTCTTTCTCTCTCTAAAAATAAAATATTTTAAAAATAAAAGGCATCCTTATATAACCCAAGTTTTTAATATGCCAAGCTAACTAACTGCTAAAGCTGACACTCCTGCATTTTACCTCGCTATTAGAATTCTCTCATTTCAGGGGCGCCTCAGTGGCTCAGTACATTAGGCATCCCAACTGGGGGTTCTGGCTCAGGTCATGATCCTCAGGGTTGTGGGATGGAGCCTGCGTAGGGCTCTGCATTCAGCATGGAGTCTGCTGGAGATTATCTCCTCTCCCTTGGCTCTTCCCCCTGCTCATGCACACACACATTCTCTCTCTCTCTCTCTCTCCCTATTCTTAAAAAAAAAAGAAAGAAAAAAATCCCTCATTTCAGTTATCATTGCTAACCCCTGCTCATCAGCCTAACACAAAAATCTTTCCCTTGGTTTCCCTTGTTTGAGCTTTCAAAAAGATATTTTAGTAAATTTAAGGGAGGTAGGGATAGAGAATTCATGGAATATGAACACAATTTTGATCCCAGATTGCTCTATAAACACATAAGCCCTATTCCACTTACATGCACATTTTTTCTATTCAAATATTTGAATGTCTTGTATGTGTTGAGGATAGGGCAAAGACTGGCACTTCTTGCACTATTCAGATGTCTACACTAGAACTCCAGAAGTTGGCAAACCTTAACAGAATCCACCAACAAAACAAACTATATTCCTTATCCAATCTACTCAGATCCCATCAACTCAGTTCCAATATCTACCAGTGACCTACCTCTCTGAAGTGACTAAAATGTTTGGTCATCATCTTAAATCTTTAGACAAAGCCATCACCACACACATCCCCAAAACCCCAGGGTTACGGTCTTATTTACTGTATTCCTAAATCAACACAATAAAAACCATTCTTAGAATAACAGCTACAGACAAAGTTATAAAAAAGGCTTTGCACCCAGATAAATAAATAAACAAATAAATAAATAAACTTCCTTCACTAGCAATAAACTTGCTGGCATGTGTTAGGCAGCAGGAAAAAAAGAGCAAATCATACTAGTTTATACACAACCCCATTCCTGGCTACCATTTAGTACTGCAACTAAAACCAACTCTTCTATCTACAGGCAAAGTATGACTAGCTCCAATATGTGAAACCTGAACTAAGGAATTAAAAGTGGCAAAAAGTCCTATCGTCAAAGAGCCAACAATTTTCTCAATAAAGAGCTCTAAAACCTTCCTAACCAGCATAGTAATATGATTAAAAGCATGTTTTAGAAAATGTTGAGAGAGGTAAAGATGGAAAGAGGACAGAATGTGACAGAATGTTATCTCAAGCCCACATAATCACCTTCCTTACCTTTTGCTAAGATTTTCCCAGATACCTCAAGCCTAACTGCTATTAACCCACCTTTCAGGCATAAGTTTCTGTCACTTCCTCAGGAAACTTTTCTTAACCCCCAAGGATCAGATGAGGTCTCCTTTTAATATGCTCTCATAGTACCCTGTATTTCTTTGTAGCACCTACCACAACTCTTATTTTTATTTTTTTATAGATTTTATTTATTTGAGAGAGAGAAAGAGAGAGAGAGAGAGAGACTACAAGTGGGGGAGAGGCCAAGAGAGCAAGAAGTAGGCTCCCCACTGAGCAGGGAGCCTGATGTGGGGCTGGATCCTGGCCCCTTGGGGATCATGACCTGAGCCAAAGGCAGCTGCTTAACTGACTTGAGCCACTCAGGCGTCCCCACAACTCTACTTTTAAAACTATGTATTGGGACGCCTGGGTGACTCAGTGAGTTAAGCCACTGCCTTCAGCTCAGGTCATGATCCCAGGATCCTGGGATCAAGTCCCGCATCAGGCTCCTTGCTCAGCCGGGAGTCTGCCCCTCTCTCTGCCTCTGCCTGCCTCTCTGCCTGCTTGTGTGCTTTCTCTCTCTCTTTCTGACAAATAAATAAATAAAATCTTTTAAAAAATAAAATAAAATAAAATAAAACTATGTATTAATTAATGTCTTGCCCACTAGACTGTTAGCTCCACTCTATTCCAGTGCCTACTACCATGCCTGGAACACAGCAAACACAAACTATCCGTTGAATAAATGAATATGAAACCATAGGTCCCAGTTTTCCAGGCAAGTCCAAATACCAAATACTGATTTACTGTCAACAATTTGGGATTTGGAAAACAGGACCTATAAACATTTAACCACACTCACGTTATATATGCAAACAAGGATTCCGCTTTGACCAATGTTTTCCAAAGAGGTACAGTTTTAATTAGAAAAAAACTAGTTAAAAAAATTAAATTTAATTAAAAAAACCACTGACTCTCATCACAAATTATTTCTCCTTAAAGAAATGGATAAATATTACTGATAGATACTTGAAGTGATAAGAATATTTTCCTAGGGGGCGCCTGGGTGGCTCAGTGGGTTAGGCCTCTGCCTTCGGCTCGGGTCCTGGTCTCAGGGTCCTGGGATCGAGCCCCGCATCGGGCTCTCTGCTCGGTGGGGATCCTGCTTCTCCCTCTCTCTCTGCCTGCCTCTCTGCCTCCTTGTGGTCTCTGTCTCTGTCAAATAAATGAATAAAATTAAAAAAAAATAAAAGATTTAAAAAAAAATATTTTCCTAGTAAAGTCTAATTACTTACTACCTTTTGCCTGAATGACTTTTGACTGAATATTTCTTAGAAAAATCAACAAAGGCAAACAGATTCTTTGCATTGTAAGAAATATTATGATTCTATAATTT